CACTCGATGCAACGGATTCAACGAGCTTCGCCAGAAGCGCTCTCTTTGTATTCGCCTTTGTATTCTCGTGGTTGACCTGCGCGATGGTGACCACCTCACCATTCACCTCAACAACGGATGGAACGGTAATTGAAGTGACGAGTGACCTCTGAGACGCAGCTGGCGCCGCCCCAGGAGAGCCTCCTCCTCCTCCTCCTCCTCCTGGGCCCGGGCTGTCCACGTTCGCCTCAGTGAGCACGGCCCAGCTGCTGCTGCATATCAGCGCGAACAGAAGCAGCAGCGCCGCAGAGGAAAAACGATGCCTCGACATTATGGACTGCTGCTCACTCTCTCTTCCCTCCGCGTGCTGGATCCGGTCAGGCCGCGACAACTGGGTTTGTGTAGGTGGCTAAACTTGACAGCAGCAACACTCGAGCGTATTTGTTATATATGCGTGTGTGGTCGGTGTATGTGTGTGTGTGTGTTGCTGGTGGTGGCTGCAGAACCCTCAAAGCGAAGAATAGCGAATAGTTTGTCTTGTATTTCCTTCCAAGTGTGTTGGGGAGGGAAAGTTGTGAGAAAAAAGCAAACAAAACAAATAAAGGCACCGCCCTCGCCCACAGTTGGGCACACCGAAAAGAACAGTGACAATCCAAAAAACGAAGGCCGCATTAGCGAACGTGTGGGCCGCACGATCACACACTCGCCGCGGCGCACAAGAGACGGCAGCCGCAAAGAAGGCGGCGGTAGCAGCGATTGTTGTGCGCCCCCGAAGAAATCAAACAACAAAACAAATTCATAAGGACCTCGCTTACCGTCTCCCACGCTCAGCCCCTTCAAACCCCGCCAGCATCACCACGCAGTGCGCATGCCGGCGGGACCTCACAGCACAGCCCTTACAAAAACCCCAACGCCCCCCATTTCCCTCAGCGCACTGCAGCAGGAGTGGGGCGTGGCGTAACTAAAATAATTTGAAAAATAAAAATAAAAAAAGAAGCATGCAGCCCCCTTTCCTGCTGCTTCGTTCCGCTCGCAAGCGAGGAAGACGCCAGCGCAGCTGTGGCCTCAGACTGCCCGATCAGTGCTTGCAACTCGAACAAGACGGAACAGGCGCATGCGCCCAGGACGGCAACCCAACAAAAGAGAGGCGCCAACCGCGTTTGCTCGAGGCTCTCAGCGGTGCATGCATCACCCCCCATTGGAGCTGCACGCCAACCAAAAACGATGGCACCCAAAAAAACAAAAGAGAAAAACACCACGCCAACACACAAAAACAATCACAATAATTCGGTTTGCCCCTGACCTCTGGGCTGTGGTGGCCGCCGCATTTGCTTTCCCGCCTGTGAGCCCACTCAGCATGCAAAACTTACCCTCTCGCCCAAACTCTCTGCAGCAACAAACTGGGAACAGCGAGGAGACATCTCCAATCGAATACTGCCGGCGTACACCCACAAGGCGCCATCATTCCCCACGCAATTTTACTCACAACCACAACACAAACAAAAAAAAGGTGCTGCTGTGGTAGCGCTGGCCATAATAATCACTTGGCGCACGGCAGAGCGAGTCCCTAAGTGCGCCTCCTACCCACACACAAACACACTTAGCAATATATCATACTCCCCAAAATACTTCACCAGTAAACTCAAGCTGCTTGTTCCCCTCCTCCTTTTCCTTGTCCCTCTGGTTGCCGCCCACGTTGGGTTTGTCGTTCACTTCTGAAATTTTCAGCTAACACCGCCACCTGGCACTGACGCACCCGCTGATTCCAAAATGCCGCGATGGCCTGAGGGTCCTCACGCTCATTGCTGCCCGTTACATTTGCGTGCACGACGACAACACACCCCTGCCACGCGTTTATTGCCGTACTGCCCTCATGATGCACGTAAATCATCTCCCACGACAAGTCTTCCGCAAGCGTTTCCCAGCCATTAAAATAACTTCGTGGAAGACTGTTGAACCGCCTCACCGTGCTGGTTCTGGTGCCATGCTCAGCCCTCGTCGTCTCACCTGCACCGCAACCATCGTCCTCCGCGGTGCACCAACGAAGAAAAAGGCGTCCACAAGCGGAAAGATTCTGCTCTCCGGTACGTATAGCACCTTGTATTGTGCATCCAACATCGGAGGAGTGTGCCCCAGCGCCATTAATCCAACGGGTCTGCTTGGATGCTTTTCGGGGTTCGATTGCTGCACACATCTCTGTTGCCGACGATGTCCTGGTGGAGGCAACTCGTTGAGGCCTGGCACTATATTTTCCACAAAGTCTCTACTCAGAAATGCGAGCAGAATGCACCGCTCCAAAATTTCCGGAATTAACACTCAACGGTACTTCAATAGTCGAAAAATAATGTCATTCTCCTCACCCACCTCGAGCAGCCTCGCAAATAATTTGCTTCCAAGAGAAAAACAGACCGGCAGGTTAACAAACGCCTCAAGACCGCGTTGTGTTACTAATCTGACAACTTTCACAAGTTTGTGAGAAGCGTCATTCGAGGGACACTCTTCCATACCTCCAATCATCCCATAATGTACAGCATTTGAGACGTCGATGCCTGCCAGGATTTCCTTGATTTCCTCCACGCGGTCCTTAT